GTTGAAATCCCACAGTCTTCAGTGAGCCTAGAAGAAGGTGATGAGGCAATTTTGCAGCTACTTATTAACCCTCTAAGTGATGATGGTAATCATGGTATTGAACATTATAATCAAACCATGACTTTGCTAAGGCAATTTATTGGCAATTCTTAATGTGCATTTAAGCAATTTAAAACTATTTAAAGTGTATATTATCCTTGTTTTCAGTTTTGACATTCATATCAGTATGCTTGCAGCTATTGAATGCATTTAAAGCCAGAGTCATTCAGAGAGTGGCTACAGCATGATGATACAAATCGTAATTTATCCATTTGGCATGTATCCTATGCTGCACAATKTAGTAATTTCCTGGTATGAGAGTAAGAGTCTATGATCTAAAGATAATAGGTAGTTTATTGACTATATTCGTACCTATAAAAACATATGAAGAATAAATTTAAATATTTCAGAACCAAATGCTGATAACACATTAAGTTTAGCTGGTACCTCAATATTTATTTCTTACTTATTACATAACGTGGTACCATAACATTGATATGTAAATTATTTTATACTCTGTAAATCTAAAAGTCAAACAAGTGCACAGACCAGTGCACTTCATTTTTTATTCCTACCAGCTAAGCCACTAAACAGCAACAGTTYAATAATTCATTACTTTTTTGATAGATTAAGTGTTCTAAATAATGAAAACAATGAACCAGTTTCAAATTATAAGTCAAAAACCACTGTGTTCCCTGATTACAGACTATTAACTCAGGCTTAGTCTTAGCTTGGTGTCAGAATGTTCGTAATCACCTATGCTAATGTAAAAAAGTCACAACCTCAACAATACAAAGACTTGCACTCACTTTTGTTGAAATGCATGGAATTGAAAACTAAGCAACAGAATTACTGGTGTACTCAAACACAGCATCATATCTATGCATCATGTATTCAGCCAATTGTTAAAATCTGAGAGAAAGAATCATCAAAACCTTAAACTATACTCCACTGTGTTAGTTGAAGACACAAACTCAGACATTTCCAAATCCAAAACATTCTTTGAGCATGGATACCCCACATGATACCATATCATCAAATGATTTTATGTGTATTGGAAGCCTGAGTTCCAGTGCACATGTTGAGGCTGTTGGGCGACATTTACATCCTGACTCACATCCATGAACAAAAGTGATGGCAATTTTCTTTGAAAACCCTAGGGGAGGTACTTGTGTACAGCCAGTGATGAATTTTAGAACATCTGCAAGAGATACCTCATATTTTGACATGCCTGTTGGTAACAAGATAAAGATTATTAGAAATTTGTGTTGGTTAATATAAATACCAGATATAGGCTAGCATGGCTCTACTTCAAACAACAATAACAAAAAAAAAATTACAGGTATCTCCAAGATGGCCAATATGGCTATAAGCTTGGCATTAAATTGAAATTCCAAGAATACAACTGAATGAAGATATTGCTATAGAGAAATATGTACTATTCTTTCCATGCAATAGAAATGCATTAATCATAAGCAATTTTTTTACAGTTACTTGTATATTGTATATAATTAGTTTAAATATATTATTATGTAAGCGATCTACATTGAATTTGTTACATAAGATATGTATGTTTTATCTTATTAAGAATAAAGACATTTATTATCCTTAAGACATTTTATTATTATTAAATCCCACCTGAAAAAATATTTTTTTAAATCTCTTGACTTATAACTACTAAGCTCATATAGCTCATTGATTTTTCTGCCCAATAAGATTCACATATTTGATCCAAACCATTTTCCATAAAAATGTATTTTTAAATCCATTTTTTATTTCATGACAAATTGTAGCCCATTTTGGTATTAAGAATTATGCACCCCAGCTTATTTTTTCACAAAGTGAATATTGAAATATCTATTTATTGAAGTGCCAAGTTTTTGTTTCTCACCTTCATACTCTACCATACAAATAAAGTCTGCAAACGCCTTGTAGGTAATAATTTCATCTTCCTTCAACTTCTGAGGGAGAGAAAAATTAATAGACCAAAGGGCCCGCAAGGATGCATTTGTTAGCTCTTCGAAGTTGTCAAAGGTGAAGACCTTTCTCATTTCCTCTTTATTCTTCGTAATCTCATCCAGTACCCCATACAACTCTAATCCTTTGGCCATCTGATTAAGCATCGGAATTTTTGGCTCTACATACACCTTGACATACACAGATCTAAAGAATAAAATTAATTAGTAAGTGTAAAAATATCTTGACATTGCAGTCAGTCATGTTTTTGAATTTTTTCAAGTCTCTCCAATCAGTTGTTTTGAGGTATATGYAAGGAATAACTTTACAGGCAAAGGTACTTGAAAGAGTACCTTTTCAGGCAAAAGTTATATATATTAGTAAAGGGGTATCTTTTTGCAGAAATTTGGAATGTAAAAGGGTAAGGATCAAGAGTCCAGATGAAGCATCCCCATACAAAAAAAGTTTAAAGACACCCCCAGGGTTTACACACACCAATATGTCAAAGAGAAAACACCAAGAAATTATATAGATTCGCATATTTCATAATGAAAATATTTGGGTACCTTAGAATTTTGTCTTTGTTTTTAATCTTCTCTCTTTGAGGAACTCCTCGATATCCAACTTCATTTAAAATATCCATTGAATCATCTTCTGTCAATACCTCCTGCAGATCTTTTTCTGTTTCAACTGCCATTATCTAGATAAAGCAATGAAAATATCTTTTTCACTTTTTTGTTCTTGAACAAGAATCTCTCATTCCAACTGAAGTGTGGGAGACGCATTTCCATCAAAACATTGATGAATCAACAGATCATYTTAAATTCTATAATAACCAATTTTATTAATCTCCTCACTTTGTTTCTTTTGTGCAAGTCTCAATCTTAGCCAGTTTTCCAAATTTATATATTTTTCTCACCACACATCTTGAAAGAGCTACTTTTGAGATTACCTTGGAAATAGGTAAAGACAAGTCCAAATTTACTAAATCAATATTGCAATACAAGAAAAATAGTGGTTCTTTTTTGCAGGTTTTTACTGTATTTCTCAGAAATTTTAGATTCAGTTGTACCACCCTTTATTAATTAATCAGTTATAATTACCTTTTCTGCAACCCTTTTGAATTTGCTATCTTTGATATTCTCAATTTGGGCTGGCACACCATCAAGGCCTGAGGACAAGTAGTCATACACCCAAGAGGCAAGAAAATTTGGTGCAGGCCCACCTTGAGCGAGGGACATGGCCATCAGCTCTCCTGCAACTTTAAAGCTGCCTTCTGTTAAGGCCACAGTACTTTCCAATGGAACAAATCCATCTTTGTCATCTTGGATAAAGAGACGTCTTTTCACATGTTCAAAAATTTCTAAAAAGAAAAGATTATTACATTAGAAAATTWTATATTTTTTTACTCTAAGTATTGCAAACTATTCTGTACCTGTGAAAAATTCTCTTCTTGGTCCCCCATCATCGACAGCAGCTTCACCAATGAAAACTACAGACAAGCGGTTTTCTGCTTTGATCCATGGCCTCTTTCTTCCCTCTAAATAGTCATCAAATATGAATTTTCTTTGTACATCAATGTGTGATGACTTCGCAGAAACTCGCCCTTTAATTTTTTCTATTATGTATTTGAGCTCAGACTTCTCTTCTTCACGTTCTTGAGCCATGTGGTCAACATCTTGTGCTGGATTATCTTGATTATCTTCCACTTCCATAGTCAACATCAGGTTACTATAAGCCAGCTCTGAAGCCCTGGCAACTCTCTCACAGCAGATATCRGCATGCTCTTCTATTAAGCTTAAAGGAAATGAAGTGTGGCAAGTGGGGCACATGACAGAGGAGGTGGTTGGTGAACCAGTTTCATGACCGGCTGCTGAAGTATGGGCAATTGCAGGTGTAGGGTATGCATCCACATCAATGGTCGGTATCTGACTGGTAGA